AAATGATAGGATAAAGGATAGAATACTGAATCTACTCTGAAAAGAAAAAGGGGGGATATAGATATGGTAGGAAAAAAGGGTAGGACATTGAATCTACTTTTAAAAAGCAACTACTTGTTTTAAATATTTTACATTGTTATGGATCTTTGTTTATTGATACAAAGTTGAGATTATTTTTGTTAGAACATGCTGTACATATATTGCTAATTTTGTTCAAGATATTGTACCTATACATCTCATTTAACAATGTAGTGCAAATTGCTAGTCCTTGAAAGTTATTATTACAAACTGTTTAGGATAATAAAGAAATGCAGGTTAGTAGTTAATCACCTATTGCAATTAAACGTTTAGTTATGTTAGGTATCTTTTCAAGGTCAAACAGATATATTTTAGGTAGACAGGTGGTCTTCAAACACTTCAGAGATCTATAGAATATGACATGTAAGATATTTTAATAACATAGGTTCTTTTTTTTTTTTTATGACAATGAGACATGTCTGTCCTGGCAGCAACAACCTACTTTGGAGATGGGTATTAAAGAAATACCATATGGAATTTACTTTCTTCGTGGCAAAAGTTAGCCACTGGGCAAGAAAATGTCCTTCCCTTGACTGCTGACAGAATGCTGTCCAAATGGAACAAGCAGGACACAAAACAAAGGACTGCCAAACTTTGCCAAGACAAGGTAGGAAAGCCCTTCAGAAAATCCTGCTTCACACATAAGTCTGTCAGGTATGCTAGACCTGTAGACCAAAGATGGATGCCCCAACATTACAGAGGAAATTTGTCCAGGCAGTCAGCTGTTTCTGTCATTTCTCATATTTTCTGGAAGTCACTTGCTTGCACTTCCTGCTTACTCAGGAAATATTATTTCCTTCTCAGGTCTCTGATGGAGTTGAAGATTTTGTAGTTATAGTTTTCCTTGTTATCAGATTCAGAAAAGAATTTCACCAAAGAGGTATAAAGTGTATAAGGTTGAGAGACACTAAAAGATAATTTCGGTAATGCAAGTTAGAATAGAAAATAAATTAGGTACAACGTTTTAGACTCACCAAGATAGGATAGATATGGAGTATTTTCTCTGAATTTGTCAATTGTTAATAGACTAGACACTGTTGATGTATTTATTGCCTGTATATATTGTATATAGTTATTGTACTTATTGTATATAGTTTTTCTCATATTAATTATAACATTCTCTTTTATTTTAGATAAAAAAGGGGAAATGTGGTGACATTTTGTTTGTGCTCTGACAAATAAAGCTTGCCTGGAGATCAGAGTGCAGAACTAGTCACTAGATGCCAGGCAGTGGTGGAATACATCTTTAATCTCAGCACTTGGGATCTCATGCTTTTGATCCCAGCATTTGGGAGGAGGAAACAGGAAGTGATATGGCTGGGCGGAGAAAGGAAGTGATAAGGCAGGGTGGAAACAGGAGCTCCACCCTTTCAGTCTGGGGATTCCTAGAGGTAAAAGTCTCTCTAGTGGCTGGCTGATCTGATTTTCTGATCTTTCAACTTCCACCCGGATATCTCACTCCAGGTTTTTATTATTAAGACTAATTAGAATTTACACTATACTTCCCTCCTCTTTCCCGTTCTTCCCTCTCCCACCACCCCTGACTTTCCTGGGAACTGAGCCCACGGTGAGCCTGTCTATTCAGAGGGGATGACGACCACGGTCCGCAGATGGAAAGCTGAAGCCAGCTTCTGTCTTAGCTCCAGAGCCTCTGAATCTGCATTCACAGCTACACAAGACCCAGCAGGAGACTGGGAGTGACGGGAAACCAGAGGACTAGTGAGGGACAGAGCTCAAGACTTCTAGATATTACTGCAGGTGTGATGGCCCACGCCTTCAATCACAGCCCTCAGGAGCAGAGGCATTTGAGGCCAGCCTGGTCTACACAGTGAGTTCCAGGACAGCTGGGGCTATGTAGACAGACCCTGTATCAAAAATTAAAAACAAAAACAAAGAAACAAAAAGATTTATAGACATTACTCTGAAAATAAAACTGGACAAAGACACCCAGGGAAATGGCAGATCAATGTTCTTAGGAAACGTCTGGAAGTGTAGCTCAGCTGGTGGAGGACTTGTGTAGCCAGCACAAAGCTCTGGGTTTGATTCAGCACCACATAAAGTGGCTATAGTAAGGCACACCTCTAAGCATAGCACTCAGGAAGTACAAAGAGGAAGCTCAGTCATCCTTGGCTGCTTAGCTAGTTTGAGGCCTGCCTGGGACACACAGGATCCTGTCTCAAGGGGAAAACAATCTTGGCCTAGAGAGATGGTTCAGCAGTTAACAGCATGTATTGCTCCTGTAGAGAACCTGGGCTCATTTCCCAGCACCCACATGGTGGCTCACAAACATCTGTGACTCCAGTTCCTGGGTATGCAATGCCCTCTTCTGACCTCTGCAGGCACCAGACACGCACATGGTGCACACATATACAGGCCAAACATTTGAACATAAAATGAGTAAGTCTTTGTTTGTTTGTTTGTTTGAGACAGAGTTTCTCTGTGTAACAGTCCAGACTGTCCTGTAACTCACTCTGTAGACCAGGCTGGCCTTGAACTTGCAGAGATCTGCATGCCTCTGCCTCCTGAGTGCTGGGATTAAAGGCGTGAACCACCTCTGCCTAGCTTTTTTGTTGTTGAGGGTTTCTCTATTATAGCCCTGGCTATCCTGGAACTCATTTTGTAGACCAGGCTGGCCTTGAACTAAAATCAATAAACCTTAAACACACACACACACACACACACACACACACACACACACACACACACACACACCAAACAAACAAAAACCTTAAGGAATACAGACACAGAAGTCTCCAATAAAATATTTGCAAAGCAAATCTAATCCAACATCATGGAAAAGGATTATATGACATGACCAAGTGGGATTTATCCCAGGAATACAAGCTTGGTTTACTATCCAGAAGTCAAATAATACAGATTATTATTTTTTTTTTAAAGATTTATTTATTTATGTATACAGTGTTCTGCCTGCATGTAAGCCTGCAGGCCAGAAGAGGTCACCAGATCTCATTACAGATGGTTGTGAGCCACCATGTGGTTGCTGGGAATTGAACTCAGGACCTTTGGAAGAACAGCCAGTGCTCTTAACCTCTGATCCATCTCTCCAGCCCATAATACAGATTATTAATAAAGAACAAAAGCCATAGAATAATCTCAATAGACACAGAAAATACATTTGATAAAATAAAACTTGCTTTCATATAAAAAAATCTTAACATATTAGAGACTGGAGATGTAACTTAGTTGGTAGAGTGCTTGTTAGCCCGAACAAAGGCCTGTGTTTGGTCCCAAGCACCAAATAAACCAGTAATTCCAACACTCAGGAAGTGGAGGCAGGAGGATCAGAAGTTCAAGGTCATTCTCGGTTGTGTACTGAATTCCAAGCCAACCTAGACCCCATGAAACCTCTTTAAAAAAAAATAAAAAGCCCAGCACAATAGGAGTAAAAGGGGAAACTTCCTCATTATATCAAAACACGGTATCACTAACAAGGAACAATCCAAAAGTGGAGATAAAACGATCCACTTAAGCCTGGTGGCTGGCCTATTATAATTCTAGCACCTGAGAAGCAGAAGGAGTTCCAAGGCTAGCCATGGCTACACAGTGAGTTTGTGGCCAGGCGAGACTATAGGAGACCCAGTCTCAAAACAAAACTAAATGTAATGAAGGGAAAAAAATCATTTGTAATAGCAACAAAAAGAATAATTTGATATGTTTAATAACAGAAGTGTAAGATTTAGAGATAAAGTGAAAAAATACTGTTGGAAGAAATTAAAGATCTAAGGTGGGACTGGAGAGGTGGCCCAGAGGTTAAGAGCACACTGGCTGCTCTTCCATAGGACCTGGTCTTGCTTCCTGGGTAACATAACAGCATAACAACTCACACCTGTCTGTAACTCCAGTTCAGGGAATCCAACACCTCTTCGGGCATTGCATGCACATGGTGCACAGATATACATCCCAGCAAAATACCCATGCACATAATAAAATAAATCTTTAAGGCCAGGTGGTAGTGGTGCACACCTTTAATCCCAGCACTTGGGAGGCAGAGGCAGGCAGATCTCTGGGTTCAAGGCCAGCCTTGTCTACAGAGTGAGTTTTCAGGACAGCCAGGGCTACACAGAGAAACCCTGTCTCAGAAAACCAACTCCCCTAAACAAACAAACAAATAAACAAAAACTTTAGAAATCAAAATAAATATCTAATTAAATTTAAATCTCATGCCCACAGGTCAGAAAATTTAATACTGTTAATATGCCACAAATGGATCAACTGATTCAATACAACTACCAAAACCTAAACTAGCTTTTTAAATTTCTTGGCAGGAAAATCTGACAATCTGATCCAAAAATCCAAATGGAGGTGAGTGTGATGACATACATCTGTAATTGCAGCACTCAGGAGGCTGAGGCAGGAGGAGAATGAAGGGTTAAAGCCAGCAAGGGCTACATAGTGAATCTGGGGCCAACATGCAGCTCTCCGACCCAATCTCAAAAACCACGAAGTAAAATAATTAAAATGGAATTGTAAGACCAGAAAAAAAAATCTTGAAATAAAACAAGTTGGGAGAATAAAAAAAATAACATAAAATAAACAAGTTGGAAGTCTTGTAAGCCCTGATTTGAAGTTCCTCCAAAACTGTACTAACCAGGGGGCTGGAGAACAGTTAAGAGCACTTATTGCTATTGCAGAGATCTAGGGTTCAGTTCCCAGCACCCACATAGTCATTCACAACCATCCATAACGCCCGTTCTAGGAGATCCAACACCTTCTCCTGGTGCACAGACATCCATGCAGTCAAAATACTTAGAAATAAAGAAATCTCTTTTAAAAATTCCTACAATAGTCAAAATAGTGTGGTTCTGGCATAATGGCAGACATGAAGCTGAAGATGTGGAGCATTTGCCCAGCAGGTTCCAGGCCTTGGGTTTGATCTCCAGCTAAAAACCAAACAAAACCCCTCATATTTACAGTTAGTTTATTTTTTTTTAAGAAGGCCAAGACAATTCAATAGACAAAGAAAGGGCTTTTCAACAGATGCTTCTGAAACAACTGAGAATTCATAGGCAAAAGAATGAAGGTGAATCACCTGCCTCAATCCATTTACAGAAATTACTCAAAGTGGGCCAGGTATCGTAAGTCTAAGGGTTTCTAGCTATAACAACATACATAGCTTGTGAAAATACATTTGTGGTGGCTGGAGGAAGGAATGGCTCCACTCTTAAGAACTTGCTGCCATATTGGGGGCTCACGATTGCTTAGCATTCCAGCTCCAGGGGATCTGACACCCTCTGTGAACACCTGCTCTGACATGCATATAACCCACATCCAAACATAATTAAAATAAAAATTAAAAACAGGAAATTTGTAATAAACTATAAACTTTATGACTGTTTTGTGTGTGTTCATGTGTGTATGCGGTCATGTGTGTCTGTGCATTTGTGCCAGGGCACATGGAAGGTCAAGAGGGTGACTTTCTGTAGTGAATGCTCTGCTTTGACAATGTAGGTTCTGGTGATGGAACTCAGGTCATCAGCCTCGGTGGCAAGTGCTTTTACTCTATGAGTCATCTCGCTGTCCACCTGCTTCTGCCTCCCAAGTACTGGCATTAAAGACCCATGACCCCCGCTCCCCTCACGGCCACCTAACTTATTTTTATGATACCAAAGTCCTCATTAAGAGCTAAGCAAATGCTCTACCACTGAACTACATACACTCTCAACTCTAAAGAACCCCCTCCATTTAGTTTAGGGGTGTGTGTGTGTGTGTGTGTGTGTGTGTGTGTGTGTGTGTGCGCGCGCGCGCGCGCACGCGTGTGTGTACCACATCGCTTGTTAGAGGTCAGAACGTCTAAGATCAGTTCTCTCTTCCATCATGCAGGTCTTGACTATTGAACTTGGGTTGTCAAGGTTGGTGGCAAATACATTTTACTGGCTGAACCATCTCACAAATCCAAAAGATTTCCCTATAAATACTGAGAACCTGGGCATGCCTCTGCTTTCTGCCATTGAGACTGCTGTTTCTCCTGGGGCTCACTCCCTGGTTTACCATTTCTGAACTACAGCTGCTTGCTGCAATGTCCCCAATGACTAACACATGAACTGTATCCTGGTTACTTCCCACATCGCCAACGTGGTGGTCCTCAACTCTTACAACAAGAGCACAGAATCCCAGTGTGGTGGTGCATGGTTATAACCTCAGCACTCAGGAGGCTGAGGCAGGAGAATCACCTCAAGTTCAAGGCTAGTCTGGGCTAACACAGGGAGACACTGTCTTTAAAAAAAAAAAAAAAAAAAAAAGTTTTCCTATAGTAAGACTCTTTCTCAAAAAAGGAGGAAAAGAAAATAGAGCTTAGGAAGGGAGTTTTAGCTCACTTTGGCCTTTGGCTTTGCTACAGCTACCAATGGAAATGGAGGCCCTAGTGGTTATAATGTATGACCTAAGAATCTTCTTCAGCAGCCTGCTAGGCAGGCAAGGGTGCTTGCTGTCAATCCTGACAACCTGAGTCCCATCCCTAGGTCCCAAATGGCGAAAGAAGAGAACTGACCCCCCGGCTGTCCTCTGAATGCATACATGCACCATGGCACACATGTAGCCACATACATACACATGCACACACACAAAACAAGTATAAATGCAATTTTTTCTTTTTTTTGAGACAGGGTTTCTCTGTGTAGCCCTGGCTGTCCTGGAATTCCCTCTGTAGACCAGGCTGGCTCGAACTCATAGAGATCCCTGCCTCTGCCTCCCGAGTGCTGGGATTAAAGTCGAGTGCCACCACTGTCCAGCTAAATGTAAATTTTTTAAAAAGAAGTTTTCTGTGAAAAATTGCAGACTTATATAACTTGACCCTAAAGGGGAGCATACTAATGGCTTCTGCCCTGCCACACTCCACAATTCTGTCTGCAAATCTTATCCTCACCTTGTTTTTTTTTTTTAAGACAGTGTTTCTCTGTGTAACAGGTGGTTTTGTTTGTTTGTTTTGTTATTGTTTTGAAACAGTCTCATTTCACTTTAGACCCCTTTCAAATCTGCCATGTAGCCAAGGCTGGCCTTTAAATCTTGATCTTCTGCTTCTACCTTCCAAGTGCTAGGTTTATAGGCATATGGGCTACCCCTGGATAACTCATTTTCTGGGTACCTTCCCTGTGTGTGTTTATGTATGCATGTATGCCCATGTGCTGATGAAGATAAAATTCACGGCTCATCTAGACATCTGTCAAGGAATGCTATATACTAGTCTATCTTTTCCCCAGTGATGTGAACAATCACATTTGTCATTAAAAAAAAAAAAAAAAATTCACCAAAATTGGTAGTAACCCCAGCACTTTAGATGCTGAATGAAAACATCATAAGATCAAGGGCCAGTCTGGACTATACAGCAAGACTGTCTCAAAAAGGCAAAGCAAAGCAAATACAACAAAGGAATGAATGGTAAGTGAAATGTGTCGGGCTTCGTGGTACAAGTCTGTTGCAATTACTCAGCAGGCTGAAGTCTCGTCAACTTAGTGAGTCTGTCTCAAGATACCAATGATCAAGGGCTAGAGGCAGCTGCTCGGTGATAAAGGGTTTGTCCAGCCTGCTGGCGGCTCTGGTTCAATCATCAGTACCGCAAAACTTCAGACAAATACTAGTAAGTTCACAGATACACTCAAGGCTGTCTCTGGACCCTCTCTTACTCTTCTGGTTGACTTTTATTTTTGTACCAATCATGTATTTTTTATTCTAATGCTTTGGTTTATAGTATCAAACACATCACACCCCCCTCTCTCTTTTTTCTTTTAAGTATCATGGGCTAGAGGTGTAGCTCAGTGGTAGAGCAAGTACTTATTATGTTCCATATGAGCTTTGGATTTTCAGATTGGATTTAAAAATCCTTTGGGGCTGGGCGGTGGTGGCGCATGCCTTTAATCCCAGCACTCAGGAAGCAGAGCCAGGTGGGTCTCTGTGAGTTCGAGGCCAGCCTGGTCTACTGAGCGAGATCCAGGGCAAGAACCAAAACTACACAGAGAAACCCTGTCTCAAAAAAAAAAAAAAAAATCCTTCAGGCTCTTTCTATACACCATAACGGCACAATTAATGTGCTGTTGGATGCTTTCAAAACCGTCAATAATGCCAAATACAGGCAAATATCAGGCCAGCAGCAAGCCATGTGCCAAAGTCATCTTCCATTTCCTAGTTGTGACAGCCATATTGAAAACTTGAAAACCCTGATGATCACGGCACTGGGAGATTGTTGTGAACTTCACAGGCCGGTTACAGAGTGTGCACAGTGACCAGCCCCAGGTTTGATACAAATTCCATTAACTCTGGGGAAACGGCAAAATAATCTGCCCCCAAGCTGGTTTCACTGCGCTGACCAGCTGGCAGCACGAAGTCAAAGAAATGGTAGCAAAGACCGGAGGGGGAAAGCCGGTTTTGCTGTTTCTCCTACAAGTGAAAGGTAGATGGGGTGATGGGCACATGCTTGGGTAGCTACATCGGAAGTACCAGTCTGAGGTCAGCTTGGGCTACACTGTCAATTTAATGCTAGCCAAACTGCACAGGCAATGAATTTAAAGATTCAATTGGGAAAGTCAACTTTTTCCACCTAATGGTGTAGACAGAACCCAGGACCTCACAGAGCAGGTAAGTGCTCCACCACCAAGATAAAAACTCCTGTTGTCAACTTTCTGTGTGTGTGTCACTGTGTGGCCCTGGCTGCCTGGAACTCCTGGTGGAGACCAAGCTGGCCTTGAACTCACAGAGATGCCCTTGCCTCTGCGTGGTGGAGCCTATTAACATCTTTTAATAACAACCCCATCCATTCAGGTACATAGTATGTCCCCGCTGCTTAGGCCATATATATGATTTTTTTCATATAGTCTTAGCTTGTCTTAGCCTTTTTTTGAGACAGGGTTTCTCTATGTAGTCCTGGCTGTCCTGAAAAACACTATGTAGACCAGGCTGGCCTCAGAGACCTGCCTGCCTCTGCCTCCTGAGTGCTGGGAGTAAAGATAGATGTGTACCGCCATGTCCAGACAGCACTTTTGAAATGAGGTTAACTTCCTTTGTAGTTCATGGGTTTTCATGTGAAGAGGGATCTCTTTTCCTCCAACCTAGTCTCCTAATTTGTTACTGTGATAAACAGAAAAGATAATCTTTTTTTAGTTATCTCACACCTGAGGGGGGGGAAATTTTTTTTAAAAGTAGTTGGAGAGACAAGCTGGGTACTTTTTTATTGTAAGCCTTAGCCTTTAAAAACGGAGCCATTTCTCCAGCCCTGAGAAAAGATCGTTTAAGCCCAGCTTACTATCCATAAAAAGATAGAAGTACTTAGTAAAGGTTTCACGATCATGAGTGTGGGCTAAACAAAGCTACACAGGTGTGTTCACTGCAGGACTAATGCTTCAAAACACCTTTTAATCACCAAGAATTCTCAGAGGCACAGATACCTTCTGTCCTGACTCGGCCACTGAAAGCTCTTTCACAAGAAACCCAAAATATACTTTGGCAAACAATGAATTTCAAGACCCTTCTAGGAGCAACTTGTGGTGGTAAACACCTGTGATCCTAGTACTTGAGAGGCTGAGACAGGGGGATTGATTGAGGTCAAAGTGAGCCTGGGCTATATAGTGAGTTCTGGATCAGGCTAACCAGAGTACAGAAGACGGCTTGGTGTCAAAGCCAACGCTTTAATGAGTGTCTCTCACAAGTGCTACCAGCCTCCACTGTCCCCAGCTCTTAGTGGACTGAGCTAGATGCCCAGCGGCAGGGCTCTGGAGGCTGGAAATGGGCACCTGGGAGTGGGGTGGAGAGAGCTATGACCTTCAAGCTGACCCTTCCTCTGGCATTCCTAGCAAAGCCACAAGAGGCTCCAGGGGTATGGGGGTCCCAATGGGCACAGGGTGAGTGCGTTCATGTTTGCGCAGGTCGCTGGCACTCAAGAAAGCTTTGGGGCACTGGGGACAGGAGTAGGGGCGTACAGAACTGTGGGTGCGGCTGTGTTTACGGAGCCCCGCCCTGTCTGAGAAGCTCTTCCCACACTGCGTGCAGGGAAAGGGCCGGAGCTCCGGGTGCGAGCGCTCGTGCCTGCGGAGCAAGGTCAGTGTGGAGAAAGTTTCTTTACACTCACGGCACACAAACTGTGGGGGCTTCTCATCGGCCTCCTCACCCCCCCACCTCTCCTCCCGCATCTCCCAGGGTACCAGCAGCTTCCCCAATGCCAGCCTCTTGGCACTCCACATGCTCTACCGTCATGCCCACCACTTGCCACTGTGTGGCCACTACACCACCGGACTCCGGGGGTAACCCTAGCAGCCCTGCCGGAGGGTCCCCTAACCCTGCACCGGCCACAGGGGCAGCCGAGCCCTCCCCCACGACACCCACGGGCAGCGCCAGCCCTAGTACCAGCTCCTGCTGGGGGGCAGCTCCTGTTGTCTCACTGCTTCTGTGGGTACGCTCGTGCTTCCTGAGGCTGGATAACACCACAAAGGATTTCCCACAGGCATTACAGTGGAAAGGGCGCTCGCCCGAGTGCATGCGGCTGTGCTTGGTGAGGCTAGCTCGCTCGGCAAAGGCCCGCCCACACTCCTCGCAGCGGAACGGCCGCTGTCCTGAGTGCACCAATGCATGCCGCTTAAGGTCCCAGGAAGCCACGAAAGTCTTGTCGCACTGCAGGCACTTGAAGGGCCGGTCGCCCGTGTGCACCCGCCGATGCATGGCCAGGTCGGCCGGCTGCCGGAAGTCCTTGCCGCACTTCTCGCAGCGGTAAGGCTTCACGCCCTCATGTGCCCGCTGGTGGCGGCGGAAGCTCGACGGGTCAGAGAACATGCGGCCACAGCGAGGGCACAGGAAGGGCTTCTCGCCCGAGTGCGTGCGCTCGTGGCTTTGGTAGGAGCTGAGCTGCGTGAAGCCTTTGCCACAAGCCGGGCAGCGATAGGGTTTCTGGGCTGCGTGGATACGCTGGTGGCACGTGAGGGAAGAGGATCGGGAGAAGCTTTTACCACACTCAGAGCAGAGGAAGGGGCGCTCACCCGTGTGGGACCTGCGGAGTAACGGAGGGCCTGGTTAGAGGGCAAGCGACTCCCGTGGGACACCCCAGAGCCTGTATGGGCTGCAGCTCCCTAAGAGCCACGGGCTGGACCTGGAGTAAGAAATCCAGCCGGGCGGTGGGGGCGCATGCCTTTAATCCCAGCATGAGGGAGGCAGAGGCAGGCGGAGCTCTGAGTTCAAGGCCAGCCTGGGCTACAGAGTGAGTTCCAGGACAGCCAAGGCAACTAAAGAATCCTGTCTCAAAAACCAAACCAAACAAACAAAATCTAAAGAGCCATCTTTCCTAGGGCCTACCCACATATGCCCCTCCCCCTGTGAGTGACAGATTCCGAACGCCATCCCCTTCCCAACTGTACTGGAATCTAGGCCAATAAGACCCCGCCCGCTCTCAGGGCCCCATCTCCAGGTACTTCGCTCTGTCAACGAGCCTGCCCTATCCAACCCGATGCTCCCATCTTTAGGTAAGCATCCAGCTGCCCCTTTTCCCGTCGGCATAATCTATTAAGACGCCAGTTCCTACTTAAGTTTCCCCGCCGTATCCGGGGTATCCGGGGGTCTCACCGCTCGTGGTTTCGTAAGTCCTTGAGCTCAGCGTAGGCCTTGCCACAGCGCTCGCAGCTGTAGGGCCGCAGGCCCGCATGGGTGCGCCGATGCTTGCGGAACACGGAAGGATCAGCGAAGCTCTTGCCGCAGTCGGTGCAGGCGTAGGGCCGCTCACCGGTGTGTCCACGCTGGTGGATCTTGAGTTTAGAGAGCGTACCATAAGCCTTGGGGCAGTGCGTACATCGGAAGGGCAGCTCACCAGCATGGGAGGCCAGGTGCACACGCAGGCACACTGGCTGCATGAAACGGCGGCCGCACTCTGGGCACGGGAAGGGCTTCTCGCCAGTGTGACTGCGCCCATGGCTGCGGAGCTCAGGAGCCGTCTTGTAGGCCTTGGGGCACAGTGGGCAGGCATAGGGCCTGGGCTTGGCGGCTGAGCCAGACACCTTGTCTCCACTGGCCTCCTCGGCCTTGGGCTCTGCGTCCGCCTTTGGCTGGACCTCATTCACCTCCTCCGGGCAGTCGGAAGGCGTATGTGTAGCAGCATGGCGCGCCGCCCTGGGAGCATTTGGAAACGTCTTTGTACACAATAGGCACTTGAAACGGCGTCCAGAGCGCTTGTAGCAGGGGCCTGGGGACTTGGCCTCAGTAGCCTCCTCTTCCATGGCCTTGGTGGGTGGGCCTCCTCTGCAAGAGAAGCAAAATTAGACCAAAGCCATCCCTCTGTATTCTTCAAAGCTTCCCTCTTCACTAAAGCTCTCTCAAGATCGGAGGCAATCCTATCTTTAAGAAAAAATTACAGCCGGGCTGTGGTGGCACACGCCTTTAATCCCAGCACTCGGGAGGCAGAGCCAGGTGGATCTCTGTGAGTTCAAGGCCAGCCTGGTCTACAGAGTAAGTTCCAGGAAAGGCTCAAAGCTACACAGAGAAACCCTGTCTCAAAAAACCAAAAAAAAAAAAAAAAAAAAAAAAAAATCACTTTTACTTTACCTGTGTGAGGGTTTACTGGCACCATGCCCATGCCTGGTGCCCAGGAAGGCTGTTCCATCCCCTGGAACTGGAGTTACAGATGTTTGTGAGCTACGCTGTGTGTGCTGGGAATCAAACCTAAATGGTCTACAAGAACAGCAAGTGCTCTTAACCACTGAACCATCTCTCCAATCTCAAAGGCAACTGAATCATAGCAGGACTTCCAAACCTGGGGCGCCTCAGCCCAAACCGCAGGACCTCTATATCCTTTATGCTAACGGTCCCCAGGTTTGATATTGTGTTCAAGTTTCACCTGTGATCTGCTTATTAGGGGTAGAAACCATTAAGTAAGAGGCCAGAATCACAAAAGAACCAGCTATATCCTGCTCCGTAACCTTGTTTTCTGACCCCCAGCATTCCCAGAATGCCTAGGTTCCGTTATTCTCACAGTCTTTCTTTCTCAGTTTCAACCAAGGCCTGAAGGTCTCCAAGCACTCAAGGAAGGCAGACGTGGGTCCAGAGAGAAGAGTCATGTTTAGACAGGGTGGCTGGCAATGTTGGAGGTAATGGGTCTCTGATGTGTGCATTGCTCTCCCCCTGCTTGGTCAGCTCTTGGAGAGAAGCAAGCGTTCCAAGAATTCTGACCATGCGTGGCTATGAGGGACTCCACCCCAGACAGGAATTTTGGTCCATTCTCTGAGCTGGAATCCCTTTTAGTCTCTGCTCCAAAACTCTGGAAATGGGGAGCTCACTCACTCTCAAGGCAGCCTGACCTACTGCTGGCAGTCAGCCTTTCTCAGTCACAACTGATTGTCTGAGCTAGCGAGGCCTCCTGGGATACTAGCTCTTGCTGAGTCCCTACTTTCTGGCCAAGAGCCCAGACAACATCCACACAGCTGCTCCTAGGATCATAGTTGGGGAAAAATAGGATTAACAGCTGCACTGGTCTTAACGCCCGCTCATCCTCCCCGAGGGATGAAGGGAAAAGGATTAGGGCAGATCCTCTTAGGGGAGATTAGGTGTTGTGCTGGGGAAGGGGTGAGTGGGCAGGAGTCAGGTGTGCCCCCCCAGAGGGTGGCAGGCCGGGGTTCCATGTCCAGGCTTATGGATCATTGACTAGGATGTTTATGTCCTCATCTGTACATCACAGGCAGGAGCTGGGGTGGAGAAGGAGGGCGGAGCTGTGGAGGGGGAGATGGGTTCCGGGCCTATTCCAGAAACGGTACACAGAAACAGTTTATGTGGCTGACTGAGGGAGTCCTAAGTGAGAAGCTCCTTAGGGTCAGCCCCATACCAGGAAGCATTTTTTTTTGGGGGGGGGGAGTTTTGAGACTTGAACCTAGGGCCTGGTGCAGGTAAGACAGGTGCTCTACCACTGAGTCACATCCTTAGCCTCCTAAATTTCTCCAAGAGGGGAAAAAACAAAAAACAGGGTGAGGACACATGAGGCTTTGCTGGTCTTGATCCCTAAGACTGCTAAAAAAAAAAAAAAAAGACCGCTCCCATCTACTAAGTACTCGCCAAATTCCACAGCATCCTAACCTTTTTGCATAAATCAACTCATCCTTATATCAACACCATAAGAAAGCAAGATCCAGAGAAACAGCCCTTCAGAGTCACTAAGTACATTCTGAAGCCAGAAGGCCCAGCTTCAAATCTAGCCACTTGCAAGCCGATAGGACTGTCTGTATAATTTACTGTGTATCTTAGAATCTGTTTTCTCAGCTGAAAAATGGAGGTAAGAATGGTACTAACTCATGGGACTGAAGAGGACTGATAGGAACCAGATCGCTTCCCTCAGTTATGGAGTCTCCTCAGAGCCAGTCAGCTGGGGGTGGCACCTGTCACAGTTCTCACACTGCTGAAACAGGAATCACTGACCCCGCTGCATAGATGCGAATGAGTGGAGTTCTGAGAGTAAAGAGACTTGTCAAGTCATACAGTTCGGACTTAGCACTGCGGAGACTTGACTGTGTTTAAAGTGTTGGAGCCCCAGCTCAGAAGGTTGGGAGCAGGCCTACCGTCTGGGCCTGGCCCAGTGTCTGCCCAGCCTGAGCTCATGGCACCCACACCTTCCTTCGCCGTGCTGACTCTGGCCGAGACCAGATCCAGGAGCCAGCACTGTCTCACCCAGACTCGCTCCTCTTGAGCTCTGGCCCCTAGCCTGGCCCTTGCCAGGTCTGTGCTTCAGTCCTCCACGCTGCTGGAGGGGCAAATCCCTCCGAAGGCACTTGGAAGTGGTAGGGAGATGTCCTAATCGGTCCCAGCAGGCACCCAGCTCCATAAAGAGTGGAGTCGGGCAGGTTAGGCTGCATCGCAGCCACATTTCCAAGAGTGATGTTTTTCCAAGTGAGCTCTGACAAACCCCTGCATCAAAATCCTCATCTAGGAAGCACACCTACAATCCTAATACTTGGGAGGCTGAGACGGGAGGATCATTAGGTCAAGGCCAGCCTAAGCTATATAGTAAGATCCTGACTTAACAAAAACAAGGGGCTGGAGAGATGGCTCTGTGGTTAAGAGCCTTGCTGCTCTTCCAGGACCCGAGTCCAGTTCCTAGTACTGCATTGTGCAGCTCACAACCACCCATAACTTAAGCTCCGAGGGATCCGATACCCTCTTCTGGCCTCCCTGAACATCTGCAGACATGTCTGAAAAAGAGCGCTCGCTCGCGCGCACGCACGCACGCACGCACACACACACAAATCCTTTTAAAAAGGCAAACAAAAGCCAGGCAGTGGTGGCTCAGGCCTTTAATCCAGCACTTAGGAGGCAGAGGCAGGCGAACTCTGAGTTCGAGGCCAACCTGGTTTACAGAGTGAGTTCCAGGACAGCCAGGGCTACACAGAGAAACCCTTTAAAAAATAGGGGGGAAATAAGCAAACAAAAAGAACCATCATATAAGGAAGTTGATGTAAGCCACTACAATCTGTACTTTTATTCTTTGAAATTAAAAAAAAAAAAAGTCATAGGCCGGAGAGATTGCTAAGTGGTTAAGAGCGCTCACTGATCTAGAGCAGTGGTTCTTGGCCCGTGGGCCTCACCTCTTTTTGGGGTGGAATAACAGTGGTCGTCTAAGCCCATTGGAAAACACAGATATTCACATTACAATTCATAACAATTACAGCTATGAAGTAGCAATGACTGGAGGTCACCACAGCATGAGGAACTGTATTAAAGGGTCACAGCACTGGGAAGGCTGAGAACTAATGCTCTAGAGGACATGAATTCAGTTCCTGACATTTTCCTGTCCTCTGTACATACAAACACACATGCATTCAGAATCTTTTTCTTTTTTTCTTCAAGACAGGGTTTCTCTGTAGCTGTGACTGTCCTTGAATTCAGAGATCTACCTGCCTTAGCTTCCTGAGTGCTGGGAGTAAAGGTGTGTGTCACCACGCTCAGCTCCGTGTGTGTGTGTGTGTGTGTGTGTGTGTGTGTGTGTGTGTGTGTGCGCGCGCGCGCATGCAGAAAAAAACGAGGAGTCAGTTCCTGTCTTTCACTTTGTTGATGGGGTGGGGGTGTGGAGGGGTGGGGGGTATCTCTTTCATATTGTTTTTGTTACTAGACTGTGTACTCCAGACTAGCTTGCTGGCAAGCTTCCTGACCATTCTCCTGTCTGCATTCCATCTCCCTATAGCTAGCTGTGCTGGATTACAGATGTGTGCCACAAAATCCAGCTTTTTGTATGTGTTTTGGGGGCTTGAACTCACGTTGTTAGGCTTGTACGGCTAGTGTTTTAACCCACCAAACCATCTCTCCAGCCCTGCAATCTGTACTTTAAACAAACTCTGTGGATCATTAAGGACCAGATATGTGAGCCAGGAAAAGTACTTGCCCGACACATGTGAGGTACTGGGTTCCATCCTCAGTACCACAAACAAATAAGAGAAAGAAAGAAAAATAGATAGACAGATACACACATTTCCTAGGTCTTCAAATGCTTCTAGGGGGGAAACATTTTTACTACAACTGTTTTAAAATGTGCTTTTACAACTCTACTTTAAATCCTCACAAGGCAAAAAGTGCACATAACTAATTAAGATGCCCAGAGTCAAAACTCAAATCCTCACACCCTCGAGTTAGACTCTTTCGATCACTCTTTATCCACTTGAAATTCTTTAGCAAAATCCTGACACTTCCCAGGACAAAGACCAGCCTTTTTCTTTGATCAGCAAATCCCTAATCCATCTCACTCCTGCTTAGCTCCGTTCAATTCCTGGCTTCCAGCACTAGGGGCGCCCCCTCCTCCACGCCTCCTGTCTTCCTTTTCCACTTCAACTTCTTCCCACCTCAGGGTGTCTCCACTAGCAGTTCTCTGGGTCAGAACCATTCTTTCTCACAGTCTCCTGAGCATCTTTGTGTATGATCTCTTGGGTTACCATTGGGTCTCAGCTCCCAGACACTTCCTTTGTTAGGGCGTTCTTTCTTCTCTTTTTCTTTAAAAATTTTATTTACTCTATGTATGTACACTCACATGGGTGCATGTGTGGTGGCCAGAGGACAACTTGCAGGAGTCAAGACTCTTTTACCATACAGGTCTAGGAGGCTGAACTCAGTTCTCAAGTTTGGTCATCTCCTTCCACCTAAGGAGGCTTCCCTGGGCACTGGAGAAATGGTACAGCATTAAGAGCAATTACTGTTCTTCCAGAGGACCCAGGTTTGGTTCCCATCACACACATGGTAGCTCATAATCATGTGTAACTCCAGTTATAGGCATCAGGCATACACTTGGTGCACACACATACATGTAAGCATAACATTCATACACATAAAATAAAGGTTTTCTTGACTATCTTTTCTTGGGGGGGGGGTGTTCAGGGTCTTACTATGTAACCCAGGCTGGTCCTGATTCTTTTTACCCTAGCCTCCTTGGTGTTGGGATTACAGATGTGGATCATGTACTCTGGCTTTGATCACCTACCTTCATTTCTTTTTGGCAGTGCTTAGAATTGAACTTAGGGTCCCATGCATGCTTGGTAAGCACTCTACCGCTGTACCACTGAGACAAGGTTTCATTATATAGTCCAGGCAGGCCAGGAGCTCACAGAGATCAGGCTGCCTATCTCCTGAGTGCTGGGATTTAAGGGTGTATGCCACCACACCTCAAAGACTTCTTTTAAATAATGATATCTTTATCCTGGCTAACTACCATTTAACTTCTTTCAAAAAAAATCTTTATGGTGCTGTCTGGATCAAATACTATTTGCAGGCTTACTGTCATGGACTGGGTATCATCAGCATTTTATACACACCGATTCAACTACTCAAGCTCATCTCTCAATTCCTAGAAGTCTGTTATAGGCTGAACATTTGTGTTCTTCTAAAATTCTGTATTTGGAAACTTAAGGTCTTTTCAGAAATAATTAGGTTAAATAAAGCCATAAGGGTAGAGCTTTAGTCCTGTAAGATTAGTGTCCCTGGGGCTGGCAAGATGGCTGGGTAGGTAAAAAGGCGTTTCACCACGCCTGACCACCTCAGGACCCACATGGTGGAAAGAAAGAATAGACTCCAATAAGTTGTCCTCTGACCTCCACACATGTGCTGCAAAAAACACACATATGCACACACAAGATAAATAAAAAATTAACTAAACAAGTTCTTAAAATAAGAGACAGCACAGAAATGCTAATTAGTCATAGATAGCGCTAGTATTTGAACTAGGTGGTCAGATATTCAACTTTCTGCCATCTGTCCCCTTGACTACTGCTTTACTAGCACTAACACATTTTATTATTTGGTTGCTAATTTGCTGCCTCCAGCATTAGGGTCCAGTGCACTTTGTTCTATGCACTCTTTATGTCCACAGCTGGTGACTGAAAGCAAACTTCAGGTGGAATTCAAACCCAGGTCTACCTACAGCCTCTGCCGCTTCCATCATAGGAGTTGGTGAGATTCAGTCACCAGCACTCCCAATTTGTTCGCTGTTGTGATGGAACACACTGTCACTACTCGCCTATGAGGGGAATGACATTTTTGCTCTCTGAATACAGCCTCAGTTCCCCCAAAGTGGTTATTTTTAACCACTCCGGCCGCAGGTGTGGTTAAAAAATAAAACAATAAAACAGGCACCTACATCCCCCATCTCCTTTTGGTGAGTTGATGGAACTGTGTTGGGGTGATTGTTTAATTATATCCTAGGCCTAACAACCAATTAGCGCAAAAATGATCCCATTTTTCTGACCGGTTTCTGCGGCGGTGTCCCCTCTGGTCAGCAACCTAAGCTCCATCCAAAATTCACAAACTACCACCTCCATAGGCAATCCCCTTTGCCCTTCCTTCTCCCACGGGAAGATTCTTGCATGCTTCCAATACTCCATTCCCCAGTACTCCGTGCCCTCAAGAATATTTAACGAGCAGTAAAGATGAGGGATGCATAGCTTTCTGGGCCTCAATTTCTTCAGTCGAATGGGGCCCCTGAAGCAAATGGGAGTTTGCAGGGCGGTAGGGCCTACCAGACGCTCTGAGGAGGGACAAGAGCTGCAGAAACCCAGCGCTCCTCGCTCTCTGCAACCGTGTTTGTGCGGGTGTCCTCGCCAGACAGGCAGCCCCCGCAGAGCGGGGCTGTATGCTGACTCATTTGGGACTAAACCCTAGGATAACGTGGCTTCGGCGAGCGTAGCAAGACAGAATGAATGAAGAAGGAAGGAATGAACAAATGAATGGACAGAGGATCCCGAGCAGGACAAAGGCCTGCAAAATGGCGTTCTTTAGGACCGCGGGAGGGGCGGCCGGGACCTCGGCCCGGGAGGGGGGCGCGCAGCCGCGGAGGCCTTGGCTGGGAGGCCCTCGCCACACAGACAAAAGCCCGGAACATGGCGGGCTCTAGGACCCCCGGGCCCGCGCGGAGCAAGACCGGCCGTCGCGTCCGTCCGCTGAGCCCAGGCAGCCAGAGCGCTGACCGGCGGGCACCGGGCGGGTTCTAGGACCTGCTGGGCCCGCAGCCCGCCCGAGGCCGCTCACCGCTCGCCCCGCCCGCGATGCTCGCGCCTGGTCAACTCGGTCCGCTCGGCATCAGCGGGAAAACTGGAGGCAGCTCAAACCGCGTTGGTGCCCGCTGCCTGAAGCCCTTGCGACTTCCCGCAGACGTGTCCTACCTGGTTCGACTTGCACAGGCTCCGCAGCTTCGGCGGCGGTGCCCAGCACCGGCAGAGCCCGGGCCACTCGGAGTGGGGCCGGCGCTAGGACCCAACGGGAGGGAGGTTAGGGGCGGGGCCGGCGGCCCGACAGCGGAAGTGGAAGGGCGCCTTCCTTGCTCAGGAGGAAGGAAAAACTTACGGAAGCAGCCCCGAGCCTACAGTAGCAGAGAAGTATCTTGCAAAGGGTCTCTGGGTGCTAAGGGGATGGGACGCCGGGTCGATTGACGGTGTACACCCGCCAGGGCGCCGGAAGTGTCTCCAAGAGCTAGGAGGTGGGAAGAACCGGACAGGGCACTCAGGTTTTGTTGTAGTGCCTGAACCCGTTTATAGTCCACGTTTTCTCTTAACAGCGAGGAGTGAACTTAGTGAGGATCCCCCCACACACACGCCTGCCTTGGGAAGAGTCTTTTATGGAGCCTCGTGAAAAGTGTCACCAAAGTGCTGTAGTCGGTGCTTTATTTACTACTGTGCTTACTGAATAAGCGCTGGGACGATTTCAGCCGCTTTGGACGGAACAGTGGCTTAAGTCCATCCGAGCGCCGCGCCGACCTGCGTGGGCGGAGCCAGAGTTGCGCCCACAGTCCAGCGTGAGAGCTCGCGCGGCCTGTAATTCCCACGTTCCAGAGGTTGAGACAGGAGGATTGCTGCCAGTTCGAGGCCAGCCTGGGCTGCATAGTTAGACTCGGTCTCAAAAACAACAAAAAGCAGACATAGAGTTGGGCCCACCCGGAACCTAGCGCCGGAAGCGTGTCCGTGTAGAAATACTGCTCGGAGGAGAGACAGGAAGTGTTCCTAGGCGGAAGTTTCGGGGGGAAGCTTTAGCACCTAGGACACTTCCTGATTCCGACTAACAATAGGAAGTGTCCGCGGAACTGGGGTACAGTCTTGGCTCATCCCAGCTGTGCTCTGTTACGTCTATCTCCTTCTTTACCCCCCCTTTTCCCCTCATCTACCATTCTCGGGAGCCCTGGCTGAGTGTGCGTGTGTATGAGCTCGAGAACCCTCGCACCAGCAACCACTTAGGGCTCGCGGCTGCAGTTAGGGTAAGGGTCCCAGTGCGCAGGCGCGCTCCCGTTCACGACCTCCAACGGACGCGCCGGCGGCGGGAACCAGAAGGCACTCCTGGTGCGAGGTAGGGATCTAGAGAGGAAATTGGCAGAAAAGACGAGTGACTGTAGAGAATCATGATGGTGGTTGATTAGGGAAAGGGACTCGTAAGAAGTTTTGAGAAAAGAGAATTCCGGGAACAGACTCAGCTGGTGAGATTAGAAATAGTTGTGTTAGGGTCCCAGGAAACTGGAGTCAATTTCGGAGAAAGGCAAGATGCTGTGGCGGAAATGAGTGGCAGCTACTGGGGAAGCGAGGGCTTTGGAATGAAGATTGCCTCTTGCAGGGAGTTTATGTGAAAACTGGGGCAACACAGGCATTGGATTTAGTGGCATAAGTACACTTAGAAGGCAAGCGTGGTGGCCCACGACTTTAATGCCAGCACTTGGGAAGACTGAGCTATATGGTGAGAGCGAGCCTCAAATGCCTCCCTCCCCAAATGAGTGCACATATCAGCAGTGCCTGGCACGTGGTACTGCACAGCGTGAGTTGCTGTCCTCTTGAGAATGTAGAGAGGCAGTAGAAGAGAGTGAAAAATGATGGTGGCAGCAAGGTAAGGCAGGAGGGGATAGAGAAGAAAAGAGGGTAAAATGAAATTCCAACCTGAGATGGGATGGGAATACATGTATTTAAAGGAAGTAAGTAAAACAAATGCCTAACCGCGTCAGGAACACAATGTGATGCCGAAAGGGCGGAGGCAGGGGGATCATCCCTTCTGAAAGGGCCTCTAACTTCTGTGAAGCCTTAGGTGGCAGCTGAAAAGCTTTGCCAGTGCTTCCAGAACATTCACTTTAGCTGAAGGGAGAAGAAAGAATTGGACTTGTCTTATTATAAGGCTTGGCCAGCTGCTGTGGCTATAACCTGAGCTCTTGGGAGGCGGAGGTAGGAAAATCCATGAGTTTGAAGCTTGGGCTGCATAGTGAGTTCCAGAGCCGCTTGAGCTAAAGATTGAGCTAAGACCTTATCTCAGAATCAAATACCACCACCAACAACGCCAGAAATAGTTCTGGTTTGTTATAAAATCTCATGAATGGTCGTTGGTTTGTTCCAGAATTATAGAGAGCAGAGCCTTTGGAACAGTAGGATTTATTATATACTGTCTTAAGGTCTGTCTAGAGTCTAGACTTTAGTTTCCTTATCTCTGGCTCTGGAGATGACTTACACCTAGGGGAACTTTCCTAGAAGTGTGCATAGTAAAGCTTTCAATGATGCTACCTGTAGACATATTAGAAAGCAGCTCCCTTTGTGTGGATGGTTGGGGAACCTCTCAGTGACTTCTAGTGAATGTGGTGTTCATATAGCCAAGAAGCGGAACTGACTCAGTCCTTCCATCTGACTACTGCCCCTCTTTCTAGGCCTTGACCCCTTCTGCAGAGAAAGATGCTGCTGCCACCTGTCTGTTCCTCCTGAACCTCCAGGTTTTTCTACCACATTGCCCCATGGAGGACATGCCCCTCTCGTTCAGTTGCTCTGACTGCCAGCGTCACTTTCCTAGCCTCCCAGAACTTTCACGACATCGAGAACTGCTCCATCCATCTGCTAACTGGGACGGTGAGGAAGCTGGCAGTGTCCCTTACCCCTCTCCAAGTCAGCAGTGTGGGCGTGACTACGGTCACCCAGGGAGCTCGGTCAACCACCAGCGGAACCACGAGACTGGTCTTTTCCCCTGTACCACCTGTGGCAAGGATTTTACTAATTCCTTGGCCCTCCAGAGCCACATGAGGACTCATGCTCCTGAGGGCCACCAAAGGCACAGGCCCCCACATGCCAAGGACACTGCTTCACATCGTCAGAGTGAGACAATGTCTACTGAATCCTGGGGTCAGAGGCTTGGTTCTAGGGAAGGCTGGGAAAATCAGACAAGGCATGTACAAGAGACACATGAATGTGAATCTGGATCTGATCCCAGGGCAGCTCCAGGTACTTGGGAAGATCCACCTACCAAACAAAGAGAAGGCTTAGAAATCCAGCCAGATCCTAAAGAAAGTGCAGAGGACTGGGTACCCACCACCAATTCTGATGGGGCTCCACCACTCGCCACTCCAGCTAGCAACCTCCTCAGCAATTTGGAACAGTATTTGGCTGAATCAGTAGTGAACTTCACAGGGGGCCAGGAGTCCACCGAGCCTCTTCCTGCTGAGGAGCAGCGAAGGTACAAGTGTAATCAATGTGGGAAGACCTACAAGCATGCTGGAAGCCTCACCAACCACCGCCAGAGCCACACTCTGGGCATCTACCCCTGCGCCATCTGTTTTAAGGAGTTTTCTAACCTCATGGCTCTGAAAAACCACTCACGACTCCATGCTCAGTATCGTCCTTACCATTGTCCCCACTGCCCCCGTGCCTTCCGGCTCCCTCGGGATCTGCTAGAACATCAGCAGTCCCATGAGGGGGAAAAGCAGGAACAGCCATGGGAAGAGGGCGAGAGGCCCACCACAAATGGACGTATGAATGGGAGGAGCTGGAATCAGCCACCTAAAACACAGATGCTGAATGGTTCTGGGGAACTCGGCACGTCGGGGCAGCTAGAGGATGGTAGCTCAGAGGAGTACCGGCCTTTCTGTTGTGGGGACTGTGGTCGTACTTACCGTCATGCTGGTAGTCTCATCAACCATCGAAAGAGCCACCAAACAGGTATCTACCCCTGCTCAGTTTGTTCCAAGCAGCTATTCAATGCAGCTGCTCTGAAAAACCATGTTCGTGCTCATCATAGGCCCCGGCAAGGAGCTGGGGAAGATGGCCAGTCATCAGTGTCCTCAACTGCCCTTATGCTGGCTGAGACTACCCAAAAAGAGGAAGAGGTCCCTGACAGCAGCCTGGACCATCGTCCCTATAAGTGCAATGAGTGTGGTCGGGCTTACCGCCACAGGGGGAGCCTGGTGAACCACCGCCACAGCCATCGGACAGGAGAATACCAGTGCTCACTCTGTCCTCGAAAATACCCCAACCTTATGGCTCTGCGCAACCATGTGCGCATCCATTGCAAAGCTCCACGCCGAAATACAGACCCTGGGACTGAGGGGTCCCCTAGCCCTGTCAAGAAGGAACAACCTGACCCAGTGGAAACAGAAGCAGCGATCCACACAGATCAGGGGCATGTATACAGACATGAAGAAGAGGCCACAGGTATCCCTGCAACAGCAGATAGGACGGCACCACAGACATGTAACATTTGTGGGATGTTCTTTGAAGATCTCAAGAGTCTTGAACATCATGGCACGACGCACAGGGCAGGGGACGGAGGAAAGAGCAAGACAGACGGCACAGTGTCACCACCGAGAGCATTTGCTTGTCGAGACTGTGGGAAGAGCTATCGCCACTCAGGCAGCCTTATCAACCACAGGCAGACCCACCAGACGGGAGACTTCAGCTGTGGGGCCTGTGCCAAGCATTTCCATACGATGGCTGCCATGAAGAGCCATTTACGACGTCATAGTCGGCAGTGGAACAGGAGGCATCAGAAACAAGATAGTACTGGTGGAGAAAAGTCCAAACTGCCGTCTGCGGGTACCTGGACCAAGAAGTTGGAAAATGACGAGGACCTGGATTCTTCACAAGACCCTTTGGGAGAAAGTCCTTGTGGGACTGAAGACCACCTGGAAAGGGATGGGGACTCTTTGCAGGCAGGGTCTAAAGGCGGCGAATATGGGCTTGGAAGGGATGAGGCCTGTTTCCTGGGTGATAAAGAGGATGCTGGCACTGAGGAAGGACTAGAGAAGAAAGAGGCCTGTTTCCTTGACCACTTGGACATCCCAGGTGATGAGAACGGCGAGACTGGCTTCTGTGATCGCCTCCTTGGAGGGGACAGTGACCAGAAGCCGGGCATTTGCCCGGCCAACTCCCCCGACTCTGCTGACACTGTCTGGAAAGCCGAAGCCACTCACACGTGTTCTGACTGTGGGGACTCTTTCCCCCATGCTGCCGGTCTGCTGAGCCACAGGTCCTGCCACCCTCCAGGCATCTATCAGTGCTCTCTCTGTCCAAAGGAGTTTGATTCTCTGCCTGCCCTGCGTAGTCACTTCCAGAACCACAGGCCAGGGGAGGTGGCCTCAACACGGCCCTTCCTCTGCTGTCTGTGCGGTATGATCTTTCCGGGGAGGACTGGCTACAGGCGTCACCTGCGCCAGGCTCATGGTGCTTCTGGCATAGCTGAGGGCTCAGAAGAGGAGGAGGAGGAAGGCACAGCAGAAGCAGCCTCTACCCACAATCCTCCCCTACAGCTCTCAGAAGCAGAGCTGCTGAATCAGCTACAGCGGGAAGTGGAAGCTCTAGATGGAGCAGGTTATGGGCACATTTGTGGCTGCTGTGGTCAGACCTATGATGACCTGGGGAGCCTGGAGCGTCACCACCAGAGTCAAAGTTCCAGCAATACGACTGAGAATGTTCCTAGCCACTTGGAAGGATCAGGTGATGTGATAGAAATGGTTACAGATCATGTCTTTGAGGGCGCAGTGACCTCTGTCTCAGAAGAGGCGGGGGACACAAAGTCTGAGGAGGGCGTAGGTAGCACAGCTGCAGACAGCCTTTGCATGCAGGCTGGTGAAAGCTTTCTGAAGTCCCACCCCCGCCCTTTCCGATGTAACCAGTGTGGCAAGACCTATCGCCATGGAGGCAGCTTGGTGAACCACCGAAAGATCCACCAGACAGGTGACTTCATCTGCCCTGTCTGTTCCCGCTGCTACCCCAACCTGGCTGCCTACCGGAATCATCTGCGGAACCACCCTCGCTGCAAAGGTTCAGAGCCCCAAGTGGGGTCTATCTCAGAAGCACGAGGCAGCAACGAACCCCAGAATGTGGCAGAGACAGGGCAGGAGCAGGCAGTCGTAGGGCAGCTCCAGGAAGAACTTAAAGTGGAGCCCTTGGAGGAGCTGGCAAGGGTGAAAGAAGAAGTGTGGGAGGAGACCACTGTGAAGGAGGAGGAGCTGGAGCAGCGGCTGGAGACGGCAGAGAAAGGCTGTCAAACTGAAGTTAGCTCCGAGCGGCCCTTTAGCTGTGAAGTATGTGGCCGTACCTACAAGCATGCCGGCAGCCTCATCAATCACCGGCAGAGCCACCAGACTGGCCACTTCGGCTGCCAGGCCTGCTCCAAGGGCTTTTCAAACCTCATGTCCCTTAAGAACCACCGGCGCATCCATGCAGACCCTCGACGTTTCCGCTGCAGTGAATGTGGGAAAGCTTTTCGCCTGCGGAAGCAGCTGGCCAACCACCAGCGGGTCCACACTGAGCGACGGAGGGGCAGGGGCGCTCAGAAGCTGAGTTGTGAGGATCGGCCTTTCAGGTGTGGGCAGTGCGGCCGGAACTACCGCCATGCTAGCAGCCTCCTGAACCATCAGTGCATCCATGAGACAGGCCAGTACAGCTGCCCCTTCTGTTTTAAGACCTATTCCAACCGCACAGCCCTGAAAGACCATCAGAGGCTGCATTCTGATAGCCGGCGCCGGCGGCCACCCCGGAGGGCAGCAGCCGTGCGTTGTACCCTTTGTGGCTGTGGCTTTCCTGGCCAGGGATCTCTGAAGCGGCATCTGCAGGAGCATGAGGAGACCAAACTCGAGCTGGCCAGTGGCCAGGAAGGCCCACATGGTACCGAAGGCAGTAAGGAGAACCTTGCTGATGACTGGGGACTGGAGGGCAGATCAGAAGGTATTCAGTCTGTACTGCAGCTGGAGCGTGGAACCAAGAGACCTGGCGAGCACAATCAGAGTCCCAGCAGGCCAGCACGTTCAGAGGTCCCAGAATCTTTTTCTTGGGAAGTGGGGAAGGTAGATGGGTATCAAGGAGACAGGGGACAAATGAATCACAATGGTGCCTGGGTTCTTCAGGATCAGTTAACCCAGCCAGAAGGCAAGTTGGAAGGCACAGTCTCCAGGAATCTTCATCAGCTCCCCGAGAGCCAGTCCAATGGTCCTACCGCAGGTTATGTGGATAGCTGGCATGGTGGAGACAGCAGCTCTCAACTCCAACCAGAGAGCCACCCCTATTGCTGCAGCCAGTGTGGAAAGACCTGCTGCCAACCTGATGGCCTCTTGAACCCCAAGAAAGACTGTCACAGTTGTTTGCTCTGTCCCAAAGAGTTATTGAATCCTGTGACCACTAAGCTCCACAACCACATTGCTGCCCAGACCTTTGCTTGTAGTAACTGTAGCAAAGTGTTTGAGACCCACAGTGAGCTGGCCACACACATGCAGACTCATGCTGTTGACCATAGGCAGGTGTCAAGTCAGACAGACGACACCAGAGATCCGCAAGCCGGGATGGTAGAGGTGGATGCCCCTGGTCCAGGGAAAGCTCAGGCCCCATCCGAACCTCCCAGAGACCCAGAAGAGAATGGGGAGCCAGCTAATGGAGGACAAGGAACCAATTTCACAGCAGCTGAAGACAAGGAACGTCCCTTTTGCTGTGCCCAGTGTGGGCGTTCCTACCGCCATGCTGGCAGCCTGCTGAACCACCAAAAGGCCCATACCACTGGACTCTACCCCTGCTCCCTGTGTCCCAAACTTCTGCCCAACCTACTCTCTCTCAAGAACCACAGCAGGACCCACACGGACCCCAAGCGCTACAGCTGCAACATCTGTGGCAAGGCTTTCCGAACAGCTGCCCGGCTACAGGGCCATGGACGGGTTCATGCTCCCCAGGAGGGACCATTCCCCTGCTCTCATTGTCCCCGCCATTTTCGCCACCGAATCAGCTTCCTGCAGCACCAGCAGCAGCAGCACCAGGAGGAGTGGACAGTGTCCAGCTCAGGTGTGTGGGGTGAGTTGGGTGAGGAGAGGATTGAGAGGACCCAGAAAGAGGTGGGCACACCGTGGAGAGTAAGCATAACCCTGAGTCGGTAAGGGAAGCAAGGAGATTCTAAGTGGCGGGAGGCCTGGACAGGGACTAACTAGTTTGGAGCGATTTTGAGCCACTGAAGGATGGATCCTGGGTCAGGAAGATGGACACTATGGTAGATGGGACAGTGGTGTGGACTCTTCTATAGCCAAAGACGAATGGCCTTGTTCTTTCAGTGGGCAGAGGTGTCTGGGAACTACCACATCTGGCTATCTTGATTTAGCCAGTAGTGGTTTCCAGAGGAAAGGGATGAAATGGGCTTTGTTTCGGTTCTGGTCTTTCCTAGAGTGGGCAGGAAGCCAGAGAAGGAGAGGGAGTGGTGGTGGAGGGTTGCAGATTCCTGGGTTGTCCTGCAGGGCTAAGGCAAAGGGGGTCTGCCTGCTCTGTGGTGACTTGTGACTGGCTGCTGTACTGCTGACGCGGCCAGTTTGCTGGGTGACAGTAGGTTACTTACTCTTACTCGGCCTTGTTTCCTTGGAAGTGAGGCCTGTGGTCCTTCTGTGAGTGCTGTACTAAGTTTTTTGGTTCTTCCTTAGTTAACCTTTTCCATCTCCTGATACAGATCTTATAAGAACCAACCAAACTGCCCTCTGCCAGCACCTTCCCCCAACACAGCCTTTTAGCTGAAGGACTGACTCATAGATAATTGTTTCTTTGAAGACAGGCCCAGCAGCCGTCATTAGCCTTATCTCTCATCCTCTATCACAGTGAATCTCGGGGTAAAACTGCTCCACCCAGCCCATTGAAGGGCAAAGCTGTGGAGGCACGGGGCAGTCTGTGTATTCAGCACACCTTAAGCGCATAGTCCCCATCTAGAGAGGAAAATCCATCCCATCTATAGCCACCCAAGGTGGGTGTCCCTGAAATGGTATGCCCTTGACCAGAGCTTGGCTGGGAAAGACAAAATAGTGGTGATGGTTCCTGAGAACGAAAGAAATGATTCTCAGGACAAAAGGTTTCTTGTGACTTCAAGTAAAGTAAGTGAGGAGCTTATCAGCCAAGGCTGTAAAAATATTAGGGGTTCTAGAATTCCTGGGCTTGGTCTTCCTGGTGAGGGGAAGATGCTGGGCATGGTACCTAAAGCCTTATACACGATAGTTGAACACTTTGACACTGAGCTTTTCTCCTGGCCTCTTGACCTTCTCTGTCTCTCAGGGCCATGTCAGGGAATGACCCGCAGGTCTGGAGACGTGGTTTAGGTTCCCTCTGACCTCTTCTCCTCCTCCCCAGGAGCTTCAATGGCACCAGCAACAAGCAGAGGGGACTCCTCTCCAGCCTCACGCCTCGACGCCTCGCCCCAGTGGCCTGCAGACCTCAACTTCTCCCTGTGAACTTCCAAGTCTCCAGAGAACAGTTCACTGAAGCAGGGATGCAGGCAGGGAGAGGCTTCATCTCCACATTTGCTCAGGAGTTGCTTGGGCATCCCCACCTCCTCTTCCCATGAAGAGGACCCTGACCTGGTTTCTTTGGCAAGCAGGGCGTAAGGTAGTCTTAATGTCTGTGTCCATGAAGGGTCTCCTTTCTAAGCCTTGTCACCATGTTCTTCCAGGGCCAGGCTCGGCCAGAATGCTGGGCTAGCCAGGTTCTAACCCAGGGAGAGGCAGATTCAGAGCGTGTACCACAGGTGGGAAAGTGGCCTGTGGAAGGGGAGCTTTTACTACAGTTTGTAACTTATTTTCTAAAATCTATTTTGTAACAATTTATTTAAGTTTTAAAAAAGGAAAATTGCTCCCCACCCCACCCCCTAAAAAAAAAAAAACACTTTTTTTTTTTCACAACAGCTGCTAGTGTTGTATCTGAAGGACTGTTTAGGGAATACTGGAGACATCTCTGTTGGAAGGCAGAGCTTAGGGGTGGGGTCATGGCCACACATGGAAAGCGACCTTGGGCAGGCTCATTCCCAGCCAGACAGCTGTGGGACCTGCCTCAGGGCTGGGAACCACAAGACAGGGAGGGGAAGGGCATCAGTGTGGAATTGGGTGTTGACGTGGGAGTTGCCTGGCTTTTCGGGCGTCTTGTGAGTAGACTAGAGAGTCACCAGTCAGCAGCTGGCTGGTTGGCCTGTCAAGGAGAGGAAGGAAGTTAATTTGGCCCCGTCCTACCTATAGCTTTATTACTTCCCTTGAGGAAGCAGGACCCAGCTCGGCCCCTGTGGTGTATGGGAGACCTGAAAACCAAGACGCTGAGACCCCCTGCTGCCTAACATCCACGTGGGTCTGTCTGTTGCTTACCCCACACCCCAGGCAGCTAGAGATGAGTCACAACAGTGTTTCCCGAGATGAGAGCCAGGGCTAAGGAGGAAGAGTGAAGAGCGACACATACTTGAGTTGACCAGGCAGCTTCCAGGCTCAGCCTCTGGCTCTGGCTCCTCAGCGAAGTAGACCTGCCAGTCTAGATGGCTGACCCAGTCCTCATAGGCAGAGAGGGCAGCAAAGACGGCAGGCCTCGAAGGGCCTTGGCAGGTGTCTCCAAAGCTGTGCAGTCCAGCCAGGAACCATGTGCCCCTGACCTCATGGACGAGGGGTGCCCCAGACAGGCCCTGTTAGGGAGCAGGTTATACTGGTAACTTCCTGTGGCGGGTGGGAGGGGCTTGGGGGCTACAGCCTGGGTGTTTGGGGCCAGCTGGTGGTAGAAGGGTTTAGTTTCAGGTGACAAAGCAGGGCTAGCAGCCAGGCTTGGTGGAAAGGTGAGAGAAGCCAGGGGTCTGCTGGGTAAGGGTTGGAGTTTGAACTCACCTCACATTGAGGCAGCTCACCCACAACAGTGGTGCATACCATCCCTGGCAGAATGGGAATGCCTGTGCTCCCAGGGGCTGGATGTTGTTGGCTACAGGCTGTTGGCCCTAAGACTGTCACAGGTACTGTCTGGGGATAGCTGTTGCCTATAAAGCAAAAGACGAGGCTAGATGCCTCGGTTGCCTGCAAGTCCAGTGGACAGCTGCCAGGGTCCCCAGGACTATGTACCTGCTCCTTGAGTCAGCCCGAGAACCCAGCCATGTTCACCATCAGGCAGGCGGTGGTCAGCATAGGGCAAGCAAAGGGGCCTCAGGCCAGGGCCCAATGTCACAGGCTGAGCCAGCAGCAGGAGGGCCACGTCATAGCCACCCTCTGGGTGGGTGTAGGCCCCATGCAGAATGAGTTGCTTCAGGCCCCGTTCCTCTGGTCCAGCCCCCAGACCTACACTCCACTCCTCTAGGGTTTGGCGCCTGTTGAGAGGCAGAGTTGACAGCACTGACGGAGCTGGGACAAGGGGCACAAAGGAGGGAGACGCGAGGCTCACCCGATAAAGCAGTGAGCAGCAGTCAGCACCACTGCCTCTGACACCAGGGCTCCACCACAAGCCAGCTTCCCATGGTGCTTCAGCCTGGCATCCCAGGGCCACTGAGAGAGGGCTCCCGCCTGGGGGCCTCCACTCCTCAAGGAGCCGCATGCTGAAATAGGTGAATTACATCACCCAGTTTGTTAAGTGGCCACTCAGTGCTCGGGCCTGTGCTGAGTGCTCCTTATTCAGCTATGACGTGGCCTATCTTCGCAGTACCAAAGGTAACCAAGCTAACATAAAGATTGACCTAGCTCTGTAACCAACACCAAGGAGCCCACTGGGGACTCAGAGCCAGTGTGCCTGCTTTTAATCCTGATGTCTGATGGCACACAGTATGCCATGCCAGCCTTACCTGGAAGCTCTGCCTCACTCTGCCACCCACCTGGATTTTCCGAAGCCTGGCTGTTGTGAACATCAGAACCCAGCTTCTTCCCCGGAATGACTTTGCATGTGATTTGCATTGCAGTCACTGCCCTGTCTCACCTCCCTGGGTTTCTGCCTGGGAACTTGCAGCTTTCCCCCGGAAACCAGCCAGATTTCACAGACACTCATATACCCAAGTCTGTAAAGCTTCCTGGCCCCAGCGGGGCTGGTCCTATCCCAGGAGCTAAAAGGGGCCTTAACAAACCTAGTTCTCCGTTGGCAGTGTCTAGACTCAAGTGTCTGAGCTGATGTTTGCTCCCTTGTGGCTTTCTACCCCACTGCCAGGAAGCCTTCATGTGGCCTGGGTGTCCCCATACACCCCACTCCCAATACCCGTGCTCAGACCTACCGACACAGCTGTTCTCGTCACTGGTTTCCACAGTTCCTGGGTCCTGTACCAGGAAAGTTGCCCCGTGAACGTGAGCCTCCAGCCATGAACTGTGCGTAGCCATGTCAGTCAGCAGCACGGGAGTGTCCTCTTGGGCACATTTTGATGTGAAGCTAATGATTCCAACCTGGACCCAGTGTCCATCAGGCTCCCGGCACATCACAGGTCCCCCAGAATCTCCCTGGAGCCAGGCAAAGGAGTCATCTGAGCCCCAACACTACTAACAAGATGCCTTCTGGCTGTACCCCATTACCCTTCTCTGTAGACCCTTAGCCCAAGACTAGGCCCTCCCTTTTCCCTGTGCTCATCAGACCTGGCAGGGTCCCTGTACCCCAGGCTGTGCACCCCCACACAGCATCCCAGGTCTCGCGGGGCTGGCCAGCAGCCGCTGGTGTAGCCGATTGTAGAGACAGTTACAAGTTGGGCGGCTGATGAGACGAAGACGCAGATTCCGTAGGGTCCTGGAAACTGGCGAAGAAGAGAAAGCTGAGTCTAACTCTGGGAAGCAGTGGGACCTGGGGCCTGGCACAGTTGGGCCTGCGCAAGCAGTGCCTCTCTAGGCTTCTGTCTAGGACAGGACTTACCGTCACTGGTGTTCTGGTCCCAGCCTGTGGCCCAGCAAGAGGCTCCAAAGGGGAAGTGATGGGTGGACTGGGGCAAGCAGAGGGTTGTATGGGCTGTGGGATGGCTGAGCTGGAGCAGGGCCAGGTCCGATCCCTGGCTATAGTGGTTATAGGCCTTGGGCAACTGCAGGCCAGTGACTCCCACTTCCTCGGCCCCCGGGCTCAGCCCCTCCTGCTTCAGAGAACCCAGGACCACGGACCAGGAGCTCAGTTCTGTTGTGGCCACCCTGAAAGGAGAAGGGCAAGGCCCAGCTGAGTGCCATTGGAAACGACAACTTGGAGAAGAGCAGAGGCAGGGGGATAGATAGAGCACATGGCTTTCAGCACAGTTCCTTCCTCTCAGTTCTCATATACTTTGTAAAGCATCCACCATGAAAGATTGCTAAAGTTAAGCTGCTAACATGTTGCTACATAGCATTCTCCATAAATGGTATTTATTATTCTAGAGGCAAAAAACAGTCTTGCAAGGTACAGGGACAAATCCACCCTCAAACCGAGACTGAACCGAAGCATGACTCACTTTTCAAAGCAGTGGGCAGCTGTGAGGACCCAGGTATCTGCCACCAAGGAGCCACTGCAGATGTGTGCCCCTCGTCGCCTCACACTGGCCTGCCAGGGCCACTCACCAGGTAATGTGCTGCCTTCCTGAGGCTCTGGAGGGCCAGGGCCGCGCTGCCCGCATGCTGTAGAGAAGGATGAGTCATGCTGACCCTGTCCTGACCTCAGGACCACAGGGTGCCATTCCTCCATCATCCATGAGCACAGCCCTGGTCCCATGTCCCCACCACCACTTACCACGCTGAGCTGCTTGAAGACCTAGGAAGAAAAAGACACAAGATGTAGAGGTGCCTTAACTGCCGGGCCCAGGTTTGGTGGAGGGAGGGGTTGAGTTGAAGGACGGGCCCTGGGTCCTTTTCTATGACTGGCTACCTTACCAGCCTCTCCCAGAATGAAAATATTTATATGAGGCTGAAAAGCAGCTTTTATTGGAGCCCATTCAGAGTATACAGCCATTAATTCTCAGCTGTGCTCAGCACTCCTGGTCCCAAGAAGCAAGGCCTGAGATTTACCTTGGGAGTAGGCCAACCCTCCTCCAGGCTTCTGAACCCCTGACTCCTGCCCCTACCACTGAGTCAGGGAGGTGGCCTGTGTATGTGAAGAGCATTAGCTTAATTGTCCCTTCAGCTGGGGAAGCCTAAGGGTAGATTAGAGGCCTGTGTCATGTCCAAAGTGGGGGAGGCCCCAAGTGAGACTCACTCCACCACTGTGCTAATGAATCAAACTTTCTGGAAGCTGACCTTTCCGGAGGGTCCCTGCCCTGCCTGGAACCCAATCATACGTTCACACAAATGGGTCTGCTGCACATCTGAAGCAGAGTTAGCGTGGACAGCTCCAAGCCTGTGGGGCCAGAGGTTACTCCATACAGATAGAGTGATCTCAGATCCTTCCCTCCCTAAGCCGGACACTAGACTGTGGTCTCAAGCACATTACTTAGCTTTTCTGTCTCCTCGCCAAGCTAGGAACAGTGGCGGTATCCACCATGTGACAGAAGGCTGTGCATTCATTACCTCCCCTCACCCCCACAACTAACTAACTCTCTCTCTCTCTCTCTCTCTCTCTCTCTCTCTCTCTCTCTCTCTCCTCACCCCCACAACTAACTAACACTCTCTCTCTCTCTCTCTCTCTCTCTCTCTCTCTCTCTCTCTCTCTCTCTCTCTCTCTCTCTCTCACACACACACACACACACACACACACACACACACACACACACACAAACACACACACACCTAGCCAAGGACATCCACAGGGAGACTAGCCCCTCAGGATCCCTTGCATACCAAATTGCAGTCTGCTTGAGTGACTTACCCTCTATCAGGACCACAGCTCCCACAATAAGCAGCCCTGGTCCCCAGCTCTGCCTCATGCTGCTCCAGGCCACTCAGTGCTCTTGTTCAGAGAGGCCACCTGGGTCTCCCTGGCTCCACCCCTGCTCCGCCCCCAGCCAGCTAAGCGTCAGGTGTTACTTTTCCTAGGCTAGAAGGGAGCCAACAGCTTGGGGACTGTGGTTGTGTGGCCCTTATCCCTCTCTGGGTTTCTGTCACCAGCCACACTCCCCCAGTTCAAATCCCAGTTCCTCCATTTACTACAGCAGTGACTTTGAACAATGAAATTGTGCCTTGCCTGAAAAAAACTCAAGTGTTTCGGGGAGTGGGGGCTGGAGAGATAGCTCAACAGTTAACAGCACAACCCGTTTGATTCCCAGCACCCATAGGACAATCCACACCATCTGTAACTCCAGTTCCAGGGGATCTGACACCCTCTTCTGTCCTCCCAAGTCATCAGGCACATATGTGGCACACAGACATATATGCAGATAAAACACCCATACACACAGAATAATAAATTGATTGATCCCATCAAGTAGACTGGAGGGAATTCTTTTTATTGTTTTGTCAATTATTTATTCCAGAAAGAGGGCAGCCTGTGGGGGTTTTCTTCCTCTACCATATGGTCCCAGGGTTTGAACTCACATGGCCATCTCACCAGGCCCATAAACAAAAGAGTTAGGGGGCTGGCTCTAAGACACTTGCCACCAAGCCTAATGACCTGAGTCGGATTCCTGGGACCTACATGGTGGACAAAGGATTCTTGCAAGCTGAATTCTACACACATCATGGCATTCAACATGCACTTACACACACACACACACAAAAAATAATAATAATAATTTTTAAAAATGCTTAGGGACCTGGAGAGATTGCTCATTGGTTTCTTCACTGTCTGCTCTTTCTGGAGGACCCAGGTTCGATTTCCAAACCCAGCTGACATCCACCTGTAATTCCAGTTCCAGGGGATCAAACACCCTCTTTTGTCCTCTCCAGGCACATATGTGGTGCACAGACATGCAGGGATATATATGCATAAATTTTTTTTTTTCCGAGACAGGGTTTCTCTGTGTAGCTTTGCGCCTTTCTTGGATCTCGCTCTGTAGACCAGGCTGGCCTCGAACTCAAAAAGATCCGCCTGGCTCTGCCTCCCAAGTGCTGGGATTAAAGGCGTGTACCACCACTGCCTGGTGGCATAAAATTTTTTTAATTTTTTTTTTGTTTTTTTTTTTTGTTTTTCAAGACAGGATTTCTGTGTAGCTTTGGAGCCTTTCCTGGAACTCACTCTGTAGCCCAGACTGGCCTCGAACTCAGAGATCTGCCTGCCTCTGCCTCCCGAGTGCTGGGATTAAGGGCATGTGCCACCACCGCCCAGCTTTTTTTTTTTTTAATTCTTAAAAGCCCAGTATAGTGATGTATGTCTGTAATCCTAGTACCTGGAGGCTGAGGCAGAATTATGAGTTTAAGGTTAAGCCTGAGCTATCTAACAAATTCTGGGCCAACCTGGACTATAGAGCAAGACCCTGTCCCAAAACAAATCAACGTTTACTAATAGACTAATAATAACCAAGTTACTTCTTATATGAAAACATCACCTGTGGGGCAGTGGCAGGCCTCTTAGATTCCACTTTTCAGCTTCTGTGCCTCCCTCAGGCCGAGGCCAGGGAGGTTTCATACACCTCTCTAGGTTTGCTTCAGAGGCAACATGTGCAGACTGTGTGTTAAAGCGGTGGGTCTCATGCCACCCTCTCTCTGGGCCTGCTGCCTTGTCAGTCAAGCGTTTGCTGCTCTCCTTTCTTGCAAATGCTGGGATAGAGTTCGAACCTTCCAACTCCTCACTTAGGCTAGCACCACCATCCAGGAGCCCTGACACCAATACAGAGGCAACGGTGAGCAGTTCAGAGCAGATGTGAGCCAAGTAGCTCAGGGGGACTCAGGTTATGAGACGGGCTAGAGCATGGGTCAGGACTAGAGCGTTTGTCTAGCATGTGCAGAGTCCTGCCGTGTGAGTTGTGGGATGTGTTCATCTGAGATTTCCTCCCCCAAGTCTTTCCCAGTACTAGATATGTACTCTCAGGCACGTTAGTTTCTCTGTACCTAAGCTTCCTCACCAGTATACAAATAATGGTAGTAACTATCTAATTAACTATCACAGGCTTTTAGTGCTTGGGATGTCAAGTCCTTAGTATACATTAGGACAAACAGAGAATCTTCTCCTGACCTTTTGCAGGTGTTAAGACTGGCTTGGGATGCTAGGTGAGGTAATTGCAGGGATTCAAGTTGGACTATCGAAGACGTTGTTCCAAGCAAGCCTGCCCTCCAGGTGTGTGGCAGACCCTCCTCCAACAGGACGTCTGATCCGTGGGCAGCAGGCGTAAGCTTATTTCCTGGACGTGGGGGCTGATGTGGTAGATTTTGCTGACTACACGTGCTAAAGATGATGCAGCCGCCTCTCCCCACTGGCCCTCCATTCTCTGACTCATCTCAGTTCCAGAGAAGGCAATAATAGGGCAAGACCAACACCCCAAAGGGTCCCTGGCACACATACGCTGCAAACTTGACCAACTCAGGAAAATTTATTGTTCAAAACCATTCTCTTTAGCCAAGAGCAGAAAGCGGCTCTTGGGGACAGAACTTAGAGGCACACGTGGTCATTGTCCTGGGCATGGTTATGGAGAGGACTGGAATGAAGAGTAGGGCCTTCTAGGGACCCACACATGACCCTCTTGGGCAAGGCTCATGTGCCAAGGCAAAGCAGGTTACGTTAGCCTGGCATGAGGTGGGACCTCAGTGCCTTTTGGCCTTGTGTTCTGGCACCTCCCGGAAGTTCAGCACCAACAAGCCCACATTGATGGCGTAGGTGGTGATACAGACGATGCAGAAATCATAGAGCACAAAGAAGAGGATCCAGGCCAGGTAGACAGAGCCAGCCAAGGACAGCAGGGAGCTCAGGACTAGCAGGACAGAGGCCCAACGTCCCCTCAAGCAACCTGTAAAACAAGAGAGGATCAGTAATGGCACCTCCAGAACTCTGCCATGCCTCCCCAGTGACAGACAGCAGGTGCATCTGGTGAAAGTTTTCTAAGACAGGACCTGACATCGGCCTTATCTGTCCAATAATCCTTGGGACCCGAGCAGTAAATTCTCCTGCTAAACTCTCTCTGAGATGAAACACAAGTCACCTTCAAAAAGAATTTGTAAACTAGATGTATTAACATATGTGTATAACCTCAGCACTTGGGAGACGGAGGCTCAGGAGTTCAAGGTCAACCTGGAATGCATGAGAACTTGTCTTAAAAAAAAACAGCCGGGCGGTGGTGGCGCATGCCTTTAATCCCAGCACTTGGGAGGCAGAGCCAGGCGGATCTCTGTGAGTTCGAGGCCAGCCTGGGCTACCAAGTGAGTTCCAGGAAAGGCGCAAAGCTACACAGAGAAACCCTGTCTCGAAAAACCAAAAAAAAAAAAAAAACAAAAAAAAAAACCAAACCGGGGCTGGAGAGATGGCTCAGAGGTTAAGAGCACTGGCTGTTCTTCCAGAGGTCCTGAGTTCAATTCCCAGCAACCACATGGTGGCTCACAACCATCTGTAATGAAATCTGGCGCCCTCTTCTGGCATGCAGGCACAACACTGTATACATAATAATAAATAAATAAATCTTTTAAAAAAAGTTTAAAAAAACAAAAAAAACCGCTGGGCGGTGGTGGCGCACACCTTTAATCCCAGCACTAGAGAGGCAGAGGCAGGCGGATCTCTGTGAGTTCGAGGCCAGCCTGGGCTACAGAGTTCCAGGACAGCCAGAACTGTTAGGCAGAGAAACCCTGTCTCAAAAAACAACAAAACAAAACAAAACAAAAATCAGGTGGTGGCACACGCCTTTAATCCCAGCACTCAGGAGGCAGAGGCAGGCGGATCTCTGAGTTTGAGGTAGGCCTGATCTGGAGTTTCAGGACAGCCAAGACTACACAGAGAAACTCTGTCTTGACCAAAAAAGAAAAGAGAAAAAAAAGAAAAAAGAAAAACAAAACACAAAACCAAATAAAAAGATAAAAAAGAATTGAGATCGTAGGAAATCTTGAGGGCCCTTCAGGCTCTGGTTAACTACCATAGTCCCTAGTGTTCTCCTTTCCCGGCTCCTTGTGATGAGGCTGCTCAGTGATTGGCAGCTGCCTGTCTGTCAACTGTCTGGTCACCATGACGTGGGGTGAGTGAGGCTGATCTGGATTAGGGCAGACAGGCCATGGAGGGACAAAGCCACTCACCTAACAACAGCTGTATGGTGTAGAACATGCAACCAAATATGCTGTTGGATTGGTTGAGGACGCTGTCAGTTCCTAGCACCTGTTCCACCAGCCCAAAGCCCTGGCCCCACCTGGTGGGAGTGAAAGAACCCAGGTAAGTGTGGTCAGCCTAAGCCCCTGGGGCTTTATCCCGGAAAAGTGATTAGCAACACTCTCCACCCACCAAGAATCCAAAGGTCAGTGACCTTCTGGCGTGTCTGGCTCTATTCTGGCCTGTCATCACAGACCATCAGTAACTTCGGGAGCTGGTGAAATGCCAAGCCTGTCAACTGAGTTCGATCCCCAAGATCCACAAAGCAGAAGAGAACCACCTCCAACTTCCACATGCAAGTAGTGGCATGCACATGCCACCCCACAAGTGTAAAAGTTTTTAATTTTTTCAGCTTGGTCGCGCTTTATGGGGACCACACTGGGAAATCTGGAGCACGGTCTATCTGCTCTGGACCCTCACCACCCCACCCACTAACATCCGGTCCTCCTGCACCTTTGGCCCCTAGCACAGCAATGCTCCACCACCTCCTCCCACTTTGTGCCATTCCAAATCATCCTCAATCTCTATGTATTATTCTGCCCTGCCTCCTCCAGTTTTCCAATCACAGTTATTCACTGGCACCCTCAGAAAGCGATCAAACACAAGTATCTCTGAGTGGTCCAGCCCCTGTGCACGTCTGATTACCCACCAAAAACTCCTAGGCCAATCCGCTCTCAAAGTGTCCGTTCTGCGGACACTGCGATCCCAGACTCCAAAATCATCCGGCAACCTGGCCGTCAGGTACACCTGGCCTTCAAGGACCCCATGCTTTTCATTTCTGCACGCACCGAGAGGAGAAGACGCGTGAACAGCTGATGGCCGTGCCCACGTCGCAGAGCGCGCGGTAATCCTCGTCGCGGGCACGCGCCGCCTTCACGTGCAGCGCGTACAGTGAGAGCGCTAAGCCAGCGAGGCAGAACGCAAACCGCACGCGTCCCGGGCTCCTCCAGGCGGTGCCCATGTCTACAGTCCAGACCCGGAGCTGGAGGGAATAACCCGCCACGGGGCGGGGGGGCGGGGCCTGCGGTGGCCACGTCCCTCGACCCGCAGGTTGGCCCGCCTCGGTTGGCATTCTCCTATCCCATTGGTTGTTCTTAGGCACGACAGCTAGGAATGCTGGGCGAGTAAACTGGATTAAGGGACGTGGGGAATCACTGGTACGGCAGCTGCCAAGCATGATGGGAATCGTAGTCGGAGAAGCTGCAAGACATCAAGGGAAATGGAGTCTCTAGAGTCGTAAAACTACTATTAATATGACGGTGCTTAGCGCGTTCTCTGTGCCAAGTCCTGTTTTATGCGTTTCGCATGTCTAGAGATTAACGGACTAATGGAACCTAGCGAAAACTGTGATGCGATTCAGGAAGCATTTCCCTGAAATAGTTTCAGATGCCATTCGGCTATAACGTGAGCTTCCAGGTAGCCGCCAGCCATCCCTCCTGCCTATCTAGCGCCCCTTGTGGCGGAATGCGCCCTTCCTCTCAAAATAAATTCCGTTATCTAGGCCACACTGCCGGCGGTTTCCCAGACCTTGGTACTGTTGTGGTGCCCTCTTGGCAAAACCTGAGCCTGAATCAACACATCAACCCCTTTCATATTATTTCCCCTTTACAGATATCCCAGCCTTCGAGGACCGTCTATTCTATATTGTCCACTTCTCCATCCTTCCCACCTGCATGGAGTTCCTTCACCCAGCTCCCTCTACCTTTCTCTCCTACTGTCCTTAATCTAATCCCTTCACAGTCAAGTTTAGATTTTACATTCCCAGTCTCCTTTACTTCTTTCTTGCCACTCATATAATAAGCTAGCTGCCCCTCAACACTCCCCCGACACCTAGTTGCAAGTATAACCAGGGGACGTTAGTCCAATGGTTACTTGTAGACGCTTATGTTTTGACCTCCAAGTGGTACGAATTGCTGCTTTCAAGTAACTCTTTCTTTCTTGATGCTGCCCTCCCTCCTTGGCTGTTCCTTCTCAGATCTACTACTCTTATTTCAGAGAATGTGGTGGGTACAGCATCAGTTTCCAAAGATGCTTAGAACTCATGTCTACCTTAGGCTGTATGGCAAAAAGGAATTAATGTTGCATAGAATTAAAGTGGGCACCTGGTGTTTCATTTTATTCGTGTTGAGGCCAGCCTAGAGGAGGACAGTCAGAGCTGTTACACAGAGAAGCCCTGTCTTGAAAAACAAACAAACAAAAGTATTTGTTTTATTATTCATGTCATAGGACTTTTATTATTGTTTTAGGATTAGCATACAGAGTAATGGGGTTTTTATGCAGGAATAGAAATCCACAGATACTGATAATGAATCTATTTATCAAGGGGTTGTATGGGGTATCAACTCACTGATACAGGATAAAGCAAATCTGTTGTAGAGTCCTGCAAGGCTGAGAGCTGGTCCCACGCTGTTTCCCAATGCCTGAGTCAGTCTTCACTGTCCAAGAACAGGAGAGAGAAAAGGGACTCCATGTACATGCTCTTCAGGTCTTAAGCTAGCCAAGAGGCCATGCCCTAGGGGCTGGTACCCCAAGGTCATAGGTGGAACAAATACCCACGACAGGTTTTATTGTGGCATCTCTGTACATATGTACTTACACTTCACTCTATTTATATCCCAATTTCTTCTTCCTGTCCCCCTCATGCCTCCCAAATAGTTCCCTTCTTCCCCCAGTCAGCCCCCTTTTCGCTTTCCTATTATATGTATTCTGTTTCCCTTTCTATTTCCCATCTCCCTTATTTAAGATCTCTTCCTTTTATTTTTGTGGATGGGGTCTGTCCTAGAACTCTCCACATAGAACAGCCTGCCCCTGCCTCCAGAGTGTGCTGAGATTAAAGGGTTGCACCGCTATGCCAGCCAAGATCTTTCCCTGTCTTTATCAAGATCTCCTTTCCAGGTACGACCTACAGAGAAACAAGCAAAAATAAATACATACAAGATAAGCTAGGCATGATGGTAAACTTGGGAGGTTGGAGGCAGAAAGATCAAGAATTCAAGGTTATCCTCAACATGAACTACAAATAAATAAGCCAGAGATACTACCCTGGATTATTGTGTGGGCCCAAGAAAAAATGAAAGTTCACAGGAAAGAGTCACAGGGAAG